CTCACAATGGCCAACAAACACTACTTGTTACGAAAAATATTACCAAAAACATTATAATTCCATTCTCTAATAGAACTCACAAATCGATGAATAGTGCAGCAAACATTACCTCCAGCAAAGGACCAGGAATGATGAACCACCATCTCGAAAGGACAAGAAAACAAGGCAACTTCCATTAAAAAGGCGCTAGCACCCATAGATGAAGAAGTGCTATCCAAAGAAATCAACAATGGGCAGTGTCCAAAATGTGTTTTAAGCAAGTGCCTAACCTAAGCATACGGAGAAAGGGCTCTTCACTCTGAATAAAACAAAGCATGATCAATTTCTTCCCCTATCAGCACATAACCCTGCCTTGAGTTCACCCATGTGTAGCGTGCGCCTAAAAATCCCATAATGAAGAGGTTGCATCTATTCATCCAATTAACAAACTTCTCACACCTCGCTACTTCACCAAGGCACCTCCAGACTTCTTACCCCCCCGACAACCTCATTGAATCACCGACAACTAGCCATGGCAACTTTAGAGCACTCGCAACCCTGGTAAGATATCTCCAATGCGCTTCTCTAGAAGCCAAATTAGGACACACATCTATAGTTGTGAATAGCCAATCTACTTCATTCTTCTTGTGAATAACTGCTTCCAATGCTTGGGAACAATGAGAGAAGATCTCCACATCAACCAAATCATCTCTCTAGAGAAACCAAAGGCTTCAACCTTCACCACCTGATTATAAATCGTTTGCCTTTTTATACGATCTACCCATATATTCTAAAATCTAGTTTCCAACAAGACGGACCACAAGGTCATGACCCTAAATGATCTCCCACAAATTTCAGAGGAAGTCGTCACTACCAACTCTGCTACAGATCCATGATCTTCGTTGGAGAAACTAAGAAGCGTTTTTCCAGCATCTGTTGCAAGCTCTGTAGCTCCAACAATTTCGTGTTGATTTCATTGATCCTGTGGTCCGATATTACTAGACATGGAAGATCTATCGGGCAACTTACTACCAACTGCACTAAGAGGACGTAAGGTAATTCACAATCAGAATTTAAGAGAAATTTGTCGGTGATTGCAAAAGAAAGTAGGGGAAGGAGGTGTTGAAGGAGGTGGGAGGGTCGATCCATCTTGGTGTGAGTTCTGCTGCAGGTAGATATGGTAGAAGGCAATAGTGGAAACTCAAGGGTCAAGCCCAATACTTGTGGATTGAAGGGAATCTGGTTAAGGTTTTTTCCAGAAGAGCTAGGCTAGGGTTTCTAATGAACTTACCACCACCTCCTTCAACAAGCCCTTTGTGCGATCCTCTTTTAGCCACTTGGCGCTTCTTGTCACCATTTGATCTAGTCTAGGATGCTTTTTGACCCATGTGTAGCCACAAAAGCCACATCATATCCATTAGAAATGACAACAAGGTCCCAGGGACAACCTAACCCTTTTAGGGGCCTAAGGAAAAATTTTAAAGTGAGGCCTTTTGTGAGGTTCCATTACTTTTTACAAAATTAAAACTATAGTATGTGATCGGTGTCAGTTTCTCAGCTAATAAAATTGAACGATTCAGTTTGGTGCTATTTAACCCCAACCAAACCAAATTGCTGACACACCTAATCGGGGAAAATAAAATAAAATAAAATACAAAATACAAGAAGAAAAAGAATTGTAGGTTTTTTTTTTAGATGGTAAAAAGAATTGTAGTTTAAAATGGGCCTTTTGTATAATTTCATAATCACCTCAACTATAGAAGTTTGCATACATGCACACCAAAAGAAAAAATAAAAATTTATGGTGCCTTCAAGAAGAACAGGACCTAAGGCCACTACCTAAATGGCCTCTGGATAACGCCGGCCCTGCAAGGTCCCTCTGTTGATCATCCCACTATCATCCAACACGTCAAAACGTGATCCAACAAGGCTTGATACCCTTGTTGCCCCTCAAATTGCACCTTCTACTGCTCCACTAACCAAATATTAGCCATGCATTCAGGTGCAACAATACCACGGCACCACTAAGTACACCCGACTTGCTTGGCAATCATCCACGAGCCACCCACTGTTATGACTTGAGGCCTTTAAAGCTCCATTACCAACCAAGCTTAACTCAGTTCTTCAATCCCTGAATGCTGCAACTTCAACGAATTTTCTAATCTACTCATAATGCATAGTAGGCACTCCTAGTGTCCATGCTATCCACATTCAAAACATATGTCCTAAAGGCCTTCATACCCCATGAGGAGCAGCAAATCATTCGATCAAACCTTCGTTCGATCAAACCTTCAATGACAGCCTTTGAGTGAGATAAACTTCAACACACACACACACTTATACTTATCCCAAGCCTGACTGGATGAAGTTGTATCTAGCTTTATCGCCTTTCCCATTAGATTTCCCAACCCATTAATATCTTCTCGTCAAAGTACTAAATCGGTAGTCCCGCAAATCAAATCCATATCACTCTTCGCTAGTTTGAACTCAAGGCACCACTTCTGAACGGTTAGATAGTGACCCAACACAAACAATGACCATCAAGTAAAACATGGTTGTAGTCCTCTTCACATGAGAATCAGACCAAGTAGTAGCCCTCACCCAGACCCATCATCTCAAACGATTTTGTAGCTTCTAAATTTGTTGAGCCCTCTAGACAAGGACCTTGTAACCCACAAATCTAATAAGAATCTTTACAATCAAAGCCTTATGCCACCAATCCCAAAGGCAACACAGCTCCTCCTCACCACACGAGGACTATCCACTCCATCGCTTGATGTTTCCCCATGTTTGCCTTATCAATTTCTATGGCGCTATCCAAATCTTAGTCGTCGTCGTCATCATCAAAGCCCATGTAAACCTCAATGGAGGATTCAACTAGGGCATCTCGAAAGTGATCTTTAGGCTATTCCCCTCTACCGATAAATCATGTTATTTGACCGCATAGCTAGGGTTTTCAATACATCTCCACCATATCATCAAGCCCATCTTCCCTTGATCAATCATCATGCCACCACTTAACTTTCTTCTTGCTTCCATCGCAAGGTATTCCGCCTCTTTTCCTGAGAGGTCACCAAGGCCTCCACTAGCTTGGGGCTCACTCATTTTATCAAACACAACCAAACTAATGCAAACTAGTTATTGATTCAATATGTCAAAAAGAAATAGGATTTATAAAAAATAAATTAAAATAAAATAAAATAAGCGCCATTGCAAAAAAAATTAGTTGGAATATGCGATCATTATTACTAATAATAGTAATTAGCGACCAAGTAAAAATAGTGAAAAATTAGCAATGAGCTATATCAAAAGTTCCCCTCTAGACAGTGCCAACCAGTGTTGCTGAATCATGATACATATCATGTATCATTGTATCACTTTTGTGTATCATGTATCGTATCATATCGTGTATCGTAAGATACATTAACAAATATAAATATATTGTAAAAAATAATCTACTAAATCATATAACTAATGACCCAATTGGTGAATATGGTTTATATAAATTCAGTCAAATTGGATTCATGATAGTAATTTAATTTCTTGCAGCAAAAGAAGTATGGCAGTCATTTTTTCTTGTGATTCTATTTGAATTTGCGTCTCCTTTGTATGAGGTGTTTTGATAATGTAGTTCATGACTCTTCAATGAGTGTTAGCTATGTGATTAATAGTGAGAAAAGTAACTAATGGGGCCAAAGGTGAAGAAGAATGTAAAAATTAATTAATCGTGCGATACGAGTTGAATCGCGATATGATACAGAGTCGTACGATATGTAAACATATCTCACGATTCAAGTCACCAACGATATGAGTCCATGATACGTATCTTTTTCCATACGATATGATACGTATCGTACAATTTTGACAACACTGGTGCCAACATACAACTATGAACATAGTGACTAAATTACAAATGGGTAAATTACAATTTCACCCTCAAATCTTCACTCAAATCTTACATTGGTCCCTCATCTTTTTATTGCAACAATTAAGGCCTCATATTTCAACTTGTGTTTCAATGTGGTTCTCCAGTTACCCCAATGTTGGAAATTTGAGTGAAAGCTGAAATATGAAGGACCAAAGTGAACCTTGAGTGAAAGTTGGAGGGTGAAAAGTGCAATTTGTCATACAATTTTTTTCATCTAACACCCCTAAAATGTGCTCTCGCAGTGTTTAAGTGAGCACTTTTATGTCCAAATTTTTAACGGCATGTGACAGGAGAACCACATTGAAACACAACCTAAAATATGAGGACTTAATTGTTGCAATTAAAATATGAGAACCAAAGTAAAATTTGAGGGTGAAATGTGTAATTTACCAATTAAAAATAGTGCCTTGCTAGGTTTTAATTTCAAAATCTATTTGCATTTTTTTTTTATTTGTTTTTCCTAAAAAACAAAAAGTTAATTTGGTCAATAAAATGAAAAATAAAAAATAAAAACAAATCATTTTCATATGATTTTCTCTTCTTAGAGGCAAAAATAATTTTTGAAAATTTGAAAATATCTTTGTTGTGTTTATTTTCGTCTAAATAGTTTCTATAATTTGAAAAAAAAAAACAAACAAACAACAAATTCTGAAAATGAAACCAAACAAACTGAGTGAAAAGTTAGAAGTGAGCTATATCAACACCCCTTCAGTCAATGGCGACACACCTGGGTGCAACCCAATAGAACTTAGATTTTAATGCGTAAATGCGCATATTCAATTTAACGAGTTCATATTATCAGTGGGATAAGTTTGAACATAACAAATAAAAAATTTAGGAACCATACAAAGCAAAATATCTACCATATAGACTAGACATCGTTCCTTGACACTAACCAATCTTTATTCAAGTTGAACCATTACCAAACATTTCCAATATTTGCTTGCATGTTTCAAATATGTCAACTTGATCTAAACAAACAAAAAATCCAGCTTATACACCAATGTCCACGCCAGAATAATGCTTGATTTGAAGCAGAAAAACAAAAAATGAAGCTCAACATAAGTCAATAGTTTCTACAGATAGCAAATACCAGATCAGTTCGACGTAGTTCAGCAGCAAGATTTACATGCACTTCAACAGTTTCATTGAAATTAGCCTTGGCATTAACCTGAAAAAACACTAGAAGGAATGCAAATAATTAGCAAGGAAGAGAACTCCAGAAAGCAAAGAAAAATCACCAGCTGAGTAACTATCAGCAATGAAGTAATATATGGTTGTCCACCTCAATGCAACTAAGCTTGTTAACAGCTAGGACTAAGATTGAGTCCACCCCAAATAAATTCCACTTGGATAACACCAGAAGATCTTTCTTTTGAAACCAAATCCAATTAATGAGATCTGATTGTAGTCAAATTCATTTTCAAACCAAGGTATTCAATCTGACAACAATTCAAATCCATTTAAACCCAAGACATTTTATGAGGATAATATCACAATCTGAGAAGACTTCAGTTT